TCGTTCAAGAGAATAATGATACACATGTACACTATAACTGCTGTATTTATATTTTCTTTAAGAGAGAGAAAGAGAAAGAGAAAGTTAGATAAAGACGATCTACTAGAGAAAATCGTAAAACACAGTAATATATTCACTCTCTCTTTTGTGCGTACGGACGAAGTAAGAGATCTATTCTTTATCTACTAGAGACGAACAAAGCAAGATATCTATTTTTACTTTGTTCAACATAAATGTACGGGTGCAATTTTATTTTAATGAATTTATAAAACAGAAATGAAAAAATGAAAAATCATGTTGGTGACCGCTTCGACCAATAGCAACGATATGCTTTGTTTCTTTGTCTGGTTATCACTATCAGATAGAGATGAACACAGTAATCATTCATTCATTTACTTCGTCTTCATTGAATTTATATGCATATTCTTATAATATGTTAACATATGTTCTTAAAAACAATTCTAATTATTAGTTTTATCTAACACCTGTGACGTTAATTTTTTTTATTTTATCAACGTTCATTCGCATTTCTCTTTCATTCATGTCATTCTTAATAACGAGCTGGTCAGCTGATTCAGGAAGTTTCTTTTTAAATGAAAAGCATTATTTGATGAGAAAAATCTCAGAAGGTTAACATTTTCGTGCCTTCAATTTCAATTAATTTCTTATTGAGACTCAAATTTTTGTATATCGTTTCAACGACAAATATATTCATTGAGTAAAATTAAAATAAATATTGCAGATAGAGAAATTAATATAAATGATACACCGAGTGAATCTTTCAAGACTTTATCCATAGGTTTTGGCATTATTTCTAAAGTATAGTAAACAATAGAATACTTAATGCGGATAAAAATCTTAAGCATTAATTCGGCTTTATCTTTTCAAATTCTGTTGACGTCGTATAAATGTTTTGTTCTATGAAGAATTCTTGCCATTGAAATGATATATAAACTATCTAAACATAAACAGAAATCGGTCGATGATATCTAAGGTAGTAAAAAGAGATTTCTATTTTTAAGTCTTTAATTTCTTGCCTTCGTAACTTATATGAGTAGCTCTTCTATAGCAGACTAATTCTCAAGGAGCGCTTCGCTTTTCTAATTCCATTATTTGACTTTTAAGAATATATTCAAATAGCCCAATTAACTGGGATCGTGGTTAGAATTAGAGAGAAGTGACTACAGTTCACATAAATTGATATTAAACTATTACTAAGATGCGAAGTTCACTAGTACATGTGAGACTCTATGTAACATCAATTAATAGAAATCAGGGTTCCACAGCATAGAAAAGTCGTGTAGTTTCATTCTGTAAGGGATAAGTTCATTATCATGCAGCTATCAAAAACTGAGAAAGAAATTTCGAGTTAATTTTTTTTAATGTTCTATTTTGTGGCCACAATAACAACAAAAATCGCTTACAATAAAGAAGGCAAGGTGATTTCTTCAGTGATGCGGTACTCATCTATTCTGCAGTTAAGATGTGTTCCTCTACTATATTATAAAAGATTTTCGTTCTTATTGCGACCACAAAATGGAACATTAAAAATTTCACTCGAAATTTGTTGCTCAAATGTTGGCAGTCACATGATAAGGAATTTATTTCTTAGAGAATGGAATTGCACGATTTTTTTTTGATGCTTTTGAATTCCTGATTGTCTATTAATTGATGTTACATAGAGTCTGATGTTTACTAGTGAATATTGCATATTACTAATAGTTTAATATCAATTTATACGAATTGTAATCATTCTTCACTGGTTTTAATTGCAATATTATTCCTATTGAAAATATCTAAAATATACAGTTTTAGTACGTTGTATGAAGCAAGCGTTAAAATTAACGTCTGTCAAATGCATTATACCGTTCTTGATATAAACGAAATGTACACAGTCAAAAATGTCCGAAATTTTGCGTTTTAACATGTTTGTAGGATCAACATGAAAAAACGCGTTCTTATACAAAATGTTATCATGGGTTGAAGTGGAAGAAAAATGCAACTGTTAAAACGTGAAAATTCGGACATTTTTGACTGTGCAGAATCCGTTAAAGGAAAGAAAAATAGAAGTTGTTGTAACGCGTTAATTTCACATTTATGACTGCTTGGGTAGTGATCTCAGGTTCTCTAGAAAAACGCTTCTCCCAAAGTATTGAAAAACCCCAAGAATGAGCTAGAAATGTCATGAAACAATTAGAAAATTTTTAGATGACCTTTCGCTTTCGGTTAATGTCAACAAAGGGTGTGGGTGTGGGGCGTGGGCATGGGTGGAAAAGAATAGCACCCACATCAACACCCTCAAGAATTTTATTTGATTGGTTTTTATGATGTATTGATCAATATAAAATAATTCGAATTAAAATAATTTTTATTATTCGATCAATTCTTCAAGATTATGCTAAAAGCATTAAAAAGAATGTTCATTTTCAAAAATCATCGATTACGATCAATGTTGAACTTTTGCACTCGATGATTTCCATAGTCCCACACATAAAGATTACACTCTTAATCAAATGACAAACCAATGGTATACGAGAGTTAATTCAATGGACTTCTTTGACCATTTTCATCAATGATAACAATTCCTTGTGTGACTCCTTTAGACCAATTCACGATTTGAATGATCAGCTACATAGACAGTACCTGACTGATCAACGATAGTGGCAAATGGATTTAATAATTGTCAAAGACTATTTCCTTGAACTTGGCCACCAGAGATAACAATACCTTGTTTTTTAGCTTCTGTCAATTTCATCACACGATGCTTCCCTTAATTTGATACATAGACTGAATGATCTCGGTCGACAAATATGTATCCGGGATTAGACAACTGATCGAGATGATTCCGTTTTCTATTTCCACCAGCAACCACTGTTCCTTGATTTTTCTTCCATTCCATATCATCTAACTTCATGTTTAATATAATCAACGATATAGAGAAATCTATCATCATCCATTGTCAACTCGTAACATCCAACATTTGAGATGATTGTTCCTCCATTTGTACCATCTTGACGAGACCATTGAACCACTCTTTTATGGTTATAATCACAAATAATAAGATTATTTCTTTCCTGATCAATAATCACAACTATCGAGCAATTCAACTGATCAGAACAATTTCCTCCGGTCACAACTCGACCAGTCGTCGCACCATGTTTCTATTTCATAATACGATAATTCGACCAATTCATATTCGAAGTAAAGAATTCTCATTGAAACAGATAGAATCAACAATAATGTTAATACTCGGTGATCAATCGCAAACAAAGAGAAATAGCTTTTTGAAGAACAAACAATTGAAATTCCGATCTGTTTTGTACTTTTTGAATTTTGAAAAAAAAAACAATCTATTGTATTTTTATGAATTCTTATGTAATATCCATATTTGATGTTGTCTTAAAATTTTCTTTGTGCATTTGGTTGAAATGCATAAAGATTTCATTATGATTAAATCGGATCAAAACTTTATCTGAGAATTTTGATGAATTTTGTTTTTGAGTTGTTTCTAGGTGTTGCATTTCAAAACTGAATTGGTTGTTTTCTGCAAATGTTTTATTTTTATCGAGTAAGATTCGTTGTGAAATTGAAGATTTTGGAATTCTGTTAGTTTTTTGTTCGTTCATCAGAAAGAAAAATTCGAACATTGAATTAATCTGAATTATTCTTCGATACAGATTTCTCATTCAAAATTGAAGATTTTAAAAGAAAATCTTGTCGTTCATATTGTTTCTTTCATTTTACGATATTGAATAATTTATTCTGTTAATTGTTTTAAATTTCAAATCAAGAAAACTCCGTATTTCTCCGCACTTCCAGAATATGTCAAAGCTGTTCTCAAGAACCTCTTATCTGTTTAAAATATACTACCAACATATGTCATAAACATATCGATTTGAGTTCATTTTATATAAGTCTCTCTGAAAATATTATCCAAATACATCATTATACTTCACCGATACTCAAATTTTAACATAGGATGAAGTATTTGGGCTTCATCACCAGACAGACTCATTTAAAATGAACTCAAATCAGCATATTTCTAATAGACGTTGATAGTAAACTTCAAAAAGCAAAGAAGTTCTAAAGATTAGCTGTCACATATCATTAGAGAACGGTGAAGTATGGATTTTTTACTTTTTTCTCCCTTGAGTTGAACACAATCAAGCATAGAATTTGAAACAGATATTTTTAAATTAAATCAATTACATTCATCTGTAGTCATACCGATTGGTGTTTCATTTAAAATACAAGATGAACGAATACATTTATTTTCAATTGCCATTATCGATCATCGATATAACGAAAACTTTGAAAGATGGGCAGCAACGTTCGATGTATTCACTTTTTCTACTGAAACTCATTTTCATTATTTCGAAAAAAACAACAGAGTTCTCACTTCAAAAATTATTATTTTGTGGAGCAAATTGAGAAAAAAACGGAACTTTATATTGAAATTTCGAAAAAAAAGATTAACCACCATACAGGAACATGGAACTTTTTAAAATCACACTCATATTCACAAACGAAGAAAAAAAAACGACGATTGTCTAAAGATAACGAAGCCATGTCTAGCGAACAAATGCAATCAGACGATGACGATGCCACAACGGACATCTCTGTTAAGAATACCATATTGTCTCGGATTTCAGTTCCGACTTCGGCAATAATTAGAATTTATAGTTTCTAGTCCCGGTAGAGTTTAATTTTTTTGGTCTCGTATATGTCAACCAGTAACCGGTTTTGGTTTTATCTCAATCGCACATAATATTTGTAGTCATCATATTGATCATATTAAATTCTCAAAAGATTTATAATACGATACTGTTTTTTGAACAGAATTATATAAATATCTCAAACATCACAATATTGATTATACTAAGAGTTTGTTTATTTTTTTTTCTAAGAAGGATCACTTGATAAATCAATTAAACATAAACGAAATATTGTTAGACATCTATCATGATGATTTGATGATTGTGTTTGAGAACGTGATCGACTTCCAAATGATATATTTCGTCCTTGTTTATAACGATATTCACAAACTTTTCGACGAATTTTTGAACTTGTCATTAATAAAATTGGAAAATGTGAACAATGATGAATTATTTCCATTAGATCACATATAAGTACAAAATTATTTGTTGGTATTTGTTTACCAAATATTATTCCCCAAACAAATAATATTCCAACAGGTAATGTTAATATAATAAAAGTTATACTTGATAATAACATATAAATAAGAATACTACGTTCTCTCCAATCATTTATTTTATTTGTACCTAAATGATGACGTCGTTGATAATTTCGACGTTTTAAACCAATAACTAAAATAATATTTGTTAAAATAATAATTAATGGTAAAATTATATTATTTAAACCCATATTTTCAATAAGTAAAAGTTTTGTTAATGAAAATGAATAACCATATGCATAATAATTTGCATTATTACATGTATATATAGTTATATGATTAAATAATAGAAAATAACAATAGGATACATCGGATGGCCAGAAAAGAAATGGATGATTATAAATAATAATAAATAAAACTATAAATAATGTTATTAAACAAGCACGTTGTCGAGTTATTAACCAACGACGATCTATTGCCCATACTTTTAAATTACGTTCAATACCTAGAACAAAAAATTTTTTAGAAATTTTTCTTCTAATCATTTTGCAACATATATTGTTCAGTACAATGATTTATTTTTCCTCTTGCACGTGATCTATTCAAACCTGTAAGCGAGCGAACATCTATCTTCGTGAAGAAAGACTAACGCATAGTATATGAACTCCTATCCCGGACTTTAATGCTGGATAATTCTGTTCCGGTAAAGTCATTTTCTTCTTTAACAAAATTATCGATTTACTAAGAATTAAACAAAAAATTTCCATCATATATTACCTAATGCACCAAGAAATGCATATGATATATTTTCACTAGTCATTGTTAAAAACCATGTTATTGAACAAACAAAATATGGATGTTGAATATAAATAAATAATAAATGAATAAAATATTCTGCTATAATTTTAATAATATCAACTAATGATAAAGCTATTATAAATATAGCATAAGGTGTATTAAAAAGAGATTTTGTACGAATAAAAAGTAAACATGAACAAAGATTAAGTATACAACCAATTATTGATAAAAAGAAACCAATTATAAAAAATGATAAAATTATTTTCGAATCAGCAGTAATATAACATGAAGAATTCATTATTGTTATTTTAGTTTAT